TTTAACCATTGTTATAGAACATATTGATAAAAATATGAAGAGGAAGAGGGCATTTGGGTTGAATGGGAATTTTTTATCTTTCTGAAAGAGCATGATTTTTATTTTGTGATGTGCGCTTAATTCCGATAAAATGATATTTATGAATTTATTACTGCGGGTATTTGATAATCTAATATAAAACGCGCAAGAATTTGTTTCCTATGATTATTATTTTTATTTTTCAGAAACAAGAACATTCCTAAATAATTTCAGTAGGCTTTTTATAAGTTTTTTTTTAAATTTAATGGGGATAACGCCTAAATAGCCAACTATTAATTGAATAATTTGAACTTAATTTGATAAGTACGTAATTCAGGTTTAAAAACTAGATAATTGTTTCTTGACTCGAGTTTTTTATGTATTAGTGTTTAGCGGAAAGAACCGAAAGAACCGACGTATAATTTTCAAGATTTCCTAATTTCAAGCTACTAAAATACTAAAATAAATTTTTTCTTTCGTTTGGAGCGCCCATCAATTATACCACCTAATGGAACACAAGACTAAAATAAAATGGTTTTACTCTGTCAAGTAATAGAAAATGATTATAATAAGTTTCAGACCTGTTTCCAATAAATATCAAGTTTCCTAATATGTTTAACATTTACCTATATATGTAATGTGTAGTATATCGATTGTCAAATGCATATAGAAAAAAAGACTGCACCCCCCCCCAAAAAACGTAACCATTATTACACCATTCGCTTCATATTTATCCTCTTTGATATGAATGTTTTTCAACATTATAATAATCGGGTTAGCAGATTTACAAAAGCGAAAAAATAATATGCCAAAATATACGAGATTTGTCATTCATGGTAAAGGCAATGTTTAAAGGATAACAAATTTTTTTTTATTTCAAATGTATTTAATTAGTAGGTTTAAATTAAAAAGGTATTATTTTCATTTACAACTTTAATCATTTTACCCAAAATTATTTTTTCCTTTTCGTTTCTAATGCTATTGTGATCAATCCAAAACTTTGTTTGAAAAGGTAATTTGAAATTATTTTTTTCACAATTAACCAAATAGTCATTTTTAATGTTCCATCTTAATGTAATCCTATTCATAACAGGTTTTAAATCCTTTAATTGTAAAGTAGTATGAACTGGTTGTGAAAATATTGAAAGAGTTTCCAGAGTAATCTTTGATAAAGGTGTAATCGTTGAAGGAATAATTGATGGCGTATTATGAAGATAAATCTTCGTTACATATGGTGACATGAAATGGTGCAATGTAATTGTTGCCGCTGAGCTTGCAATAAAAGCTTTTGTTTTTTTTTTAAAAAAAAAAATTACAAATTTAAATTTTTTATAAAAAAAAAAAATTGATTTCCAATGATTTCGAAACGATCTTTACCTAATGTCAAGATCGCTCCATTTAATTCAGCTGCTTGAACTTGATTAAATTAATGATGTGATATCAAGTTAATATTAGGGATCCTAACAAAGAATAAACTTTTTAGAACCTAAAATACTTACTCATAGGACTATCCCAATTCCACCAAGTGAATGGACCTATTGTCCATGCAAACTAATTAGACGAAAAATAATTAATTTTAGATACTTTGCGAAATTAATTCCAAATTATAAAAAAAAACCAAATATAAAATAACGTAGACAAACCCCAAGTGTGGATATAGAAAATATTTTCAAGATTCTAATTAACCGAAAATTTGGACCTTCAAAGACGAGTTGTTTCGTTTCTACCTCATTGTTCGATTTAATGTTTGTTGAAATGTTTTTTTGAAAATTAATGATAGAAGTCTTACGTACTTGAGTTGAAATTCGCGATATTGCCTTAACTCGAAAAGAATTATAACGATATAAATTGGTTGTTGATATTACGGGTATTCTCATTTCCAAATTTTTGTTAAAAAAGGAATTTAAATTTTTTTTTTAAAAAAAAAAGTGATCGACGAATTCGTCATTTATGATCATTTATTAGTTGTGATATATTTAGTTAAATTGGAAATTCCGAACTAGATGCAAACTAAAAAGTTCGGATTTTTTAATGGTTCACTAAAGATCTGGTATTGTTTGAATATCTTTTTAATATAACCAATTTTTATATGCTGTTTTCATTTTGAAATACCAAAATTGGGAGAAATTATCCAATTATCAAATGTTTATATTTATTAAAATTTGTAGAACATTTGTAAATTATATCTCTTTATAAGTACTATTTGGAACATGAGAAACATCAAATCCGTCAAACACAACCCTTTAAAAGATGTTACAAAGCCGCATTCGAGAGGATAACATTACCTCATTCAGCCTTAACCTTTGACCACTGAAAGTTTGACAAGTCGCATCATTTGACTAACCCTATAAAGTCTCGTTGTTATATTTAATAAGTGAGACATGATTTTTGTTCAGTTTTTAATTGTCGACATCAAATTGCGCCCGAATTTCTGTGTTTTTGTATAAAGAAAAACCGTCATGTATGCACTCATTCTTTGATAGTTTAATTAGGAAAAATTAATTGAGTGATTGATTAAAAGCAATCTCCGTTATTTAGATATCTTTTAAAATCTGGTCAGACCTGGAAACGTGTTAAACTTCAGAAACAATGAGTACTTTTTTCACGAATAAATGTACTGTACATCATTACCTTAATTAATAGGAGATAAACTCCGGATTAACTATTTGAGGATTTGATTTGCGATTAAAAATATATAAAACCAAAAGAATCATAGAATTCTCATCAAAAAAAAAAAAAAAAATTTCTAATTCTTTAAACTATGGCTGAAATTAGTGATACGTCACCCAAAAATATTGGAGAAATGGCAATTAATGGAGCGGGAGTTGCTTTGGATACAAGCACGACGATAATTGGTGTAATTGAAGGGGTAATCAATATCACCGTACCATTTGCAAAGTTTGTACCATTAATTGCAGATGTGGCCAACATTTTAGATCAAATAGTTGATTTATATCAATCTGCGGAACATAATAAAAGAATATGTGGGGTTTTGATTGATAGGGTGTCCGCGGCCGAAGCGGCAGTGCGAAACTTAAAAATTCGTAGAGATCAGAATAAAACTTTTTTCAATCAACAAAATTTAATCTTGTTACAAAGATTGGTACACAATATACAACAAATTCGAAGATTCGTTAACGAAGTTAGTCAAGTAAAAGGGTTAAAGAAATACGCACAAGCCAAAAGCATTGAAAAATCTTTTAATGAATTATGTAGAGATTTTGATAGTCATGTGGCTACTTTACATTTTGCCATTACGGTTGATTCTCGTAATCAAGCGGAAAATGATAAGGAAGCCCTAAGGAATGATTTGGCTGACCTAAGTAAATATCTTGATGATATTGGTAGTGGTATAACCGATAACAATAAACACGTTGCGCAATTGGTTACTCAATTGATCGTAATGAATAGTACGATGGAAAATTTACACGCCGAACAAATAAAAAATAATAATACGGAAAGTCAAGGTAAAATTGATAATATATTTAAAGAGGAGCGACTTCCATTAAATGATTATAAACCAACACATGATGATCGTGGAAGCAAAGTTAAGAAATGGATTTCAAAAAAAACGGATGATGAAGTGGCATTTAAAGCTGTCGCGGATGAAAATGATCTTGAAGAATATAAGAATAGTATAAAAAATCAAGTTACCATATTAAAAAAATTAAAGGATTGTCAAAGTATCTTAAGATTTTATGGAATAGCAAGTGATGGTGAAAAATGGTATACGGTTACCGAATGGGCTGAACTTGGTAATTTAAGGGAATATTATAATAAATATGATTTTGATATTAGAAAGAAATTAAGTTTCGCTGTTGATATCGCAAGAGGGTTGAATTTCTTGAAATCCATCGAAGTGAGTAAAAATTGGTTTTAAAAAGAAAATGATAATGTATAAATTTATACGTGTTTATATTTACGATATATATAAATATATATTATATGTATATATATAATACTCCTAGATTATTCACAGGGATATAAGAGCGGAAAATATTTTAATTACTGCTAACGAAACGGCAAAGATTGCAAATTTTAAATCAAGTAGGAACCTTGCTCATGAATCACGAAAGCAAAATGCAACTCAAGAAGCTGTCCGTTATTTAGCTCCTGAAATGTTGGGCCAAAGGACGGTAAAATATACAACTAAATGTGAAGTTTATAGTTTTGGTATTTTACTTTGGGAAATTGCTGAACAAAAAGTTCCTTATGAGAAATTGAATGATATCATTCATATCACTGATCTCGTTAAAAAAGAAAAATATCGAGAACCATTTTCTTTAAATAGCGACTTGCCGAAAAAATATCGAGAAATTGCGAAAGAAGGTTTTTATATGTTAAATCATACCATTCTTTTATAAAACTTGAGTTAAATTTTTTCTTTTCCTTTTTTTTTTTTTTTAGCCGTTGAACATGATCCAAATTATAGACCTGAATTGTCAAAAATGTTTAATACGCTAATTGAACTTTTTAAAAATCATGGGTTGCCGCAAGCTTCGCCTCGTCCTTCATTTACCCGTATCCATCCGCGTGTTAATAGCACTGAAACTTTTGCACTCACACCACAAGATGAAAGTGAATTAATGATTGAAGTACCAGATTTAAGCCCATTTAATTATATGTCAGTGGATGAAGCTTCAAAACAGCATAAAATTAAAAATGGTAATCTTGAAATGGCTTATAAATGTTTCGATACCTACGCTAACCTTGGTAATTTAAAAGCAAAATATTTCAGAGCATATTATATTTCTCACAATTACGCTGAAACTCATCTTCAACAACAAGATAGAGATGAAATTGCCGCTAGACTTTATAAAGAGGTTGCAGATGCAGGTGATGAATATCCCGAAGCTCAACTTCGTTATGGAAATTGTTTGTACAAAGGACAAGGTGTTCCAAAGAATATTGAAGAAGCCGTTAAATATTTCGTTAAATCGGCTGAAAACGATCAAGAAATAGGAATGTATAATGCTGGTTCTTTATATCATATAGGCGGTCTAATAGAACAAAATAGAGAATTAGGTGAATATTATATGAAATTAGCCGCTTATAAGCAACATCAACCCGCAATCGATTTTTGTAAAAAATATAATATTCCTTTGTAATAATAAATTCAATTGTGCCGACTTTCGGATTTTATCACGGTTGCCCGATTTAATTTAACTTGATTTTTGATTTATTTTTATTTTGTATGGAATTACTTTTTATATTTTATTTGTTTATTCACATGTTACATCAATCTCATAATAATTTTTAAAAACCCCATTTTATGTTCCATTAGGCAATATTTATGGTAGGTTATGTTAGTTAGCCGAATTGATAATGAATTAAAATAAAAATATGGGCGTAACGAAATTTCTTATATGAATAAGGGATAGGATGTCGCAAAATTCGAACGAAAAAAAAACATTTTGTTTGGGTTGAAGATTATACTTCCATTAAACATATTTGAATACCAATACCGGTTCTTTCCGCTAAACACTAATACATAAAAAACTCGGGGCTCTCAACTCCGATGTTGGGTTGCTAGAAACAAATTAACTAGTTTTTAAACTTGAATTACGTAATTATCAAATTAAGTTCAATTTATTCTATTAAATGGCGTTATCCCATTAAATTAATTACAAAAAAATCTTATATAAAGCCTATGAAATTATTCAGGAATGTTCTTGTTTGCTTTTTTTCCTGATAATAATAATAATAATAAGAAATAAATTATATACTGTTCTGATATGCTATTTTCAATTACCCGCAGTAATTAATTCATTAATATCAATTTTATCAAATCACAAAATAAAAAATCATGTTCTTTCAGAAAGATAAAAAAATCCCATTCAACACAAATGCTTTCTTCCTCTTCATATTTTTATCAATATGTTCTATAACAATGGTTAAG